CTCCTGAGGCCCGATGTGCGCGCTCACCGGCTGAGATAGTCAGCTTGTCCCTCCTGGTTGGTCGATGGGGAATGCCACCCGTTGCCAGGGGTTAGGTTCATCCCTGACGGGATGGGCTCAACCCATAACCCTTAGTGTAGCTTGCCGCTGGAGGTGTGAATAATTGCTAGTTAGGTAAGTAGTGGGAGGTATATTGAGAGAAGAATATAGCTTAGTTCTAGGCTACCAGAGTGGCCCGGGACCACTTGACCGGCCGGGCCAAAAAAAAAGAAAAATGAAAATCATTTCTTAATTTATTTTTTTTGTTTAAATTTGGTAAAGAATTTCGATGTGACCCTGAGGCAAAAGTTGTTCAGTTTATTTTTCTGCATAACATAGTTTTTTTCGGTTTTTTTTTTTTTTTTTTTGCTGGACCTTCCTTGGTCCTTGCACGGCCGGGCCGCCTGGGAAAACAGGGTGACCCAGGTGGCCCGGATGGTGGCCTAGGCTTAGTTAAAAACAAATTGAAAAAAAATAAAAGGTCCATTTCTTGCCCGTTTTTTGCCTTGCCGCAGGTTCCAACAAGGGCATCCCTGTTACCAAAGGTGAACTGCACCCTTAAACCGCTGGTACACCGTCCCAGCCTTACAGAAAGTTTTTGTTGCCACAAGCAAAACTCGGAGGCGCCGCACAGCCCGGGGCGCCGTTGGGAAAAAAAATTGGCAGCCTCCAACGTGGTGCAGGTTTCATGCTGACACCCCTGGGCCTATGTGTGGTGTACTGGTGCTTTAATACAAAATGGCAGCAGACCATTAGACAAGGACCCAATGCGATGGCAGTTTTGACAAACATTAAAAAATATATATTACAAAAAATGAACATAATCCTTATATCAATATGACACTCGCGAAGTAAAAACGAATTAAAACCCTGTCGGTACAAGCATTTTGCCCACTAGCATGCAACAAAAGCTTGTCATATGGTGCAGAATTGCAGACGGACAAGAGGGTACTCGCCTACCGAATGACTCCATACTTTGCATGGATTGCGTCATTGCACTACATATGCACCGTGTCCTCTCATACGCCCTTCTGCACAAATGTTTCCCAGAAAACATAGTTCGCAAGAAGTCCGCTCTAATGCCTTCACAACCTTTTGGCCAGTTGACATTCAAGTGAAAGGATTTCCCAGAAACGTTTCCACAGGCATTGGAGCAAAGCCGCACCACCCAGTTTCAGGCTACAGACCAGCAATGCTCTCAATGCAGAGTCATACAAGTGAAAGGATTTCCCACCTCTCAGCGTCTAAGTCCCAGTGCGGGTTCTGAAGTCCCATGTGCCATAGTACCTGTCAAGTAGGCAGGGTAGTTAGGCCGAGTCTGTAGACCCTGCAGGACTCGGTGGTAGATCTATCGGTCCAGTCGTTAGCATCTATTTTAAGTCCAACCCAGTCAACTAAGGGATGCGTCTAGAAGGCCTACCACAGCCAGCAAAGGCAGGGGCCGCTACGGGAAAGTCCAACATTGGGAACTGCAGAAAAGTACAGCGGCAAGAAGACATCAACACAGTTACCATTCGAGTTCGCTATGGAAGCGCTGTCGTGGCCTCGTGCTATCACATGTTGAGTGAGGTTGAGATGCAGTCGCAAGTAGTCAACAGAGCCAGTTGCCACAGCTTAATTGAGMGAGAGAGASASAKMRAGRGRGRGRGRGRGRGRGAGAGAGAGAGAGAGAGAGAGAGAGAGAGAGAGAGAGAGAGAGAGAGCTCTTCGAGTTTGCCTGGTGGCGATGTCCACCCAAGTGTCCATACAGAAGACTGTTGCACAAGAATTTGAATTTCCGAACAATTTCCGGAGTGTTCTCATCTTGTGTTGGTGTGCATCTCATCTTTGGAGCTTGGTGTGATGAAGCGTAGACTGTTTGTGGAGTGAGAAGCGGTGTGAAGTGATGGGTTCATTGCATGAGCAACTAGAGGATCATACCCCGAGAAAAATAACAGCCACAACAACACAGTTTCACACGTTCGCCTGCCCAACGGCAAAGCTCATGCCCCACCAACAGAATGCCGGGCCAGACATCCGGGCAGGGCATCGCTGCTCAGGATCCTGATCAAGATGTACCGAGCTCCAGATGACCCCGATTGCAACCCTGGCATCCAGCCATGCAAGATCTGAAAAACTATGTTTTTTTTTTAAACTTTTTCTACAATGGATTTGATGTTCTTTGAACATCAAAATTGCGGTGAGCAAACTTGCACTGCTGGTGGAGGCGTCCAGATGAACAGAAAAGAGGGGCAGAAAGTGTGCCAGTGACTTAACTAACACCCATCCAATTTTCACAAGATGAGCGGGTGATTGGAAAAGAGGGTAGCCCTTCAACTTGTGGAATCAGCTGGAACTGTTAGCCTAAGGATCAACAGTTTGATGCTTAGTAGCTTTCTGTTGCCTTGTGTAACTACCGTCTTCACCGGAATAGAACGCCAGGTCATTATAGCTGTATTTGGGGCAACTTTCAGACCAGATGCGGCAATAATGACGGCGTTTTATTTGGGTGAAGGCAGTAGTAGCACGCAGCAGGTATAAGAAAACTCCGTGCTATAATGCCAGGAGAATTTCATTTGCATAATTCGCACAAGCAGGGAGGGAAGGGTGGGCGAGGCCACTCCAGTGGTTGGTGAGTGTGCTTGGGGTGTTCTGGTCCCCCATCACAAGCCGCAAGTAGGGTTACTTTGGCTGTTTACAGGACATTTCAGGAAGATAAGAACCGGTCTTGAAGGCAAGCCCAGGAAGGCTGCAGCCAAGGCCACTCCAGCGGTTGATGATTGTGGTTGGGGTATTCTGGTCCCTTCACAAGCCCCGCAAGTCTTGAAGTCAAACTGTCAAACTCAGGTTTTGAAGAGTGAGCAAAGTGCATTTGCGTTTTTGCATCTTGGTACGACCTCCTGCTCTGTGACTCTCTTGTCATGCTTGACATGAGGGTGCTTTGACGACAGCAGAGGAAAGAAGAGGAGAGGAGACAGAGAAAAGCCGGGATACAAACAACCCCCTCATATCATGCTTTTCTTTTCAAAATCAACGCCTTCCAACTTGCCTGGCAGCAATAATGTCACTACCAAGTTTCTACCGTCGCCTACCACTAGCGGCACTAGGGCATTGCAGGTGTTAATATTATTCTCTCTCTCTCTCTCTCTCTCTCTCTCTCTCTCTCTCTCTCTCTCTCTCTCTCTCTCTCTCTCT